ATACCAAGAAATTTCCTCTGGCGAAAATGCAAACTCGTATTTGGGAGAGACTTACTGACAGCTGAATAAAACACTGACAATGAGCAGCAAAGTTTGCTGCTTTGTGGATGATCATTTGCCTTTTACTTGTTCATTCAACTGTGAAACTGCCTCTTTCCAACAGAACTCTTAGGCAGCAAAGCTGCTGTTAAATGGTTACACTTCCCACTTCTCCTCAATGAACTGCACATTAAATTAGTTATGTCATCAATATTTTTTTTTCTTTAGACATTGTTAGGGCTGCACAGGCTGTGGTGGCTGTGCTGTACTCTTCTTGCCTTGGATTCAGCTCAGTTCAGAGCTGAGCAGGAGCTGCACAGACAATACACTCCCCACACACAGCTCTGTGCACCTGCCCACACCCAGTTAAGGCTGTGTAAGTGACTGCATAAGGCAAGTCCCAGAGGTTCCCTGGCGCTGCTTCATGGAAATCCCATGGGAGCAGAGAACGTGGAGTGAGGAGAGGCTCAGTTAGCAAGGAAAAGTTCTTTTTTGTCACTAAGAATGTGGTGACTCCTGCCAGGCCCTGATGCCAGCAGAGCTTCTGCTGCTGCAGTAAAGCACAGACTGATGGAACCAGGGGTGGACAGGACTCAGGTGGCCAAAAAGGAAAGGTAATCAGCAATAAGGTGCTTCCCAAATTGCCCTCAGATGGAAAGAATGGCTGGTTGGTGTGTTCTTTGTACTGCTGTGAACTGACAGCACACAGCTGCAAACAGAGGGATTATCCAGTCCAGCAATGGGATGGAAATAAAAGCTACCAACAGGAATGAGACAGGACTTAAAAAATTGAGGCTTTTAAGAATCCACATTAAAGAAAATGAAGAAAATCAGATTAGGAGATTAAAGCAATGCTTCCTTTGACATTTACCCAGGGCATTAAGAACACACACCTCCACCTTCCTCAAATCTACAGCAGAAACTTGGGGTTACAAGGAGGGAAATGCAACCACTCCCTGGGAAAGGGAAGACACCAACCTGCATTGAGCACTTGTACCACTACTACCCATAACTTCCTGCAGGGATTGTGTCTGGGTTTGGGGTTGTTTATAAAACCAAGTTTTGTTCAGCCAGTTTGCTGCACTGTCAGCACAGTCACAATCAGTGGGAGGCACTGGTTTCACTGGTGCTGAATCACAGATTTGCCCCTGCCTGTCTCTAGGAACAGTGTGTGCTGCATTTTGGACTAACCATAAATTCCCTCTGGATAGGAACTCGACTACAGGAGATCTTCATCTTTGCTAAGAGGAATGGAAAAGCTTCTTAAATACCATTACTGCCCTAAGCTCAATCAGGTTTTGCTGCAGCTTCACTGCATACTAAACAAACTACTCAAGCAGCCTGAAAAACAGCATCATCAGTCTTTTATGACAAGGTTTCTTGTGTTGGCTTTTCTTTTTAAGAATGAATGGCATTTTGGAAAATTAAACAGACATCATCTTGCACTTGCTCAGCCTCTCTCACAGCTGTTCTGCTCCATTTCTTGCAGAATAACATAGGGAAAAAGTAAATCCCTGAGTGCTTAGACAGGCTCACCATCTCCCACACAGCTCTGCAGCAGCTTAATTCCTCCTGCAGCTTCTCCCCAAATCTGCTCTGATGTCCTAAATGCCCACTCCTCCCACTCCTGTTTCTCAGGGGACGGTCACAAACATACCTGTAAGGTGCTGGTTAAAAAGTTGTCCTGGGAGACAATGTCCACAAAAAAGTCTGCAGGGATTTCATTGAGCTGGTGATACAGCACAGAAATGAGATTGATGTAGAGGTCTTGGTACTTCCCTATGGCATCTTCAGATCGGCACAGGATGTTCAAGAGCCTTTTCCAGTGCTCAAAGGCATCATACACGTTCCCAATCAGGAAGCAGATAAAAGCAAACTGCAGCTCAGCTGTGTGTGTTCAGAGAAGGGAAACAAAACAAAACACATGTAAGACTAAAAAGATATCCAAGGTACGTGTCTTCCCAGAGCTCTGTAAATGATTCATGAATCCTGGGTTTGGCTTTTGCAGGCACATCCTCCAAACACTGACTATGTCCTGGTGCTCTGCTCCTCAGCTGGAGACAAAGCAAAGCAGAACGGGGCAGGTCCATCTGCAACTGGGGTTATCATTGCTGGAGAGTGACTGTACCAGCAGAGCAAACAGCCACTTCAGGCCTTCAACACCAAACCAGACACTGCTGATACTGTGAGAGCTCAGTCACCCTGTGCCAGGTGCCCAGAGCCATGTGAGACTGCCACTGCCACTGCCCTGAAGGCTGGGAGAGGTGAGCAGTACACTAACAGGTGTGTTTTCTTGTGCCATAGCTTGAGGCTATGTCATCTGATTCTGTCACTTGCTCCCTGGGAGCAGAGCCTGACCCCCACCTGGCTGCACCTCCCGTCAGAGAGTTGTAGAGAGCACAAGGTCACCCCTGAGCCTCCTTTTCTCCAGGCTGAGCCCCTCCAGCTCCCTCAGCTCTCAGGACTTGTGCTCCAGAGCCTTCCCCAGCTTTGATGCCCTTCTCTGGACAGGCTCCAGCACCTCACTGTCCTTCTTGAAGTGAGGGGCCCAGAACTGGACACAACACACACACACAGAGCACACACAGCTGAGCTGCCCCTGTGCCAGCCAGGGCAGGACCAGCTGCTGCCCAGGGCACCGTGGGCTGGGAGACTCACACCCCTCCCACCCAAACTGGAACAGCCAAAAACCTCCTCAGCCCCACTCCAGCTCCTGGGACTCCATCAGCTCCATCCTCAAGAGGTTCACCTCACAGGCAAAGTGCCAGACAACAGGGCCACCTGTGACTGCTGCTTTTGTCTCACTTGAAGCAACCTGGGCTTTAAGCACAGCCCTTGGGAGCCAGAGAGGCCAGTGGGGCAGGCTGGCAGCTCCAGGCCCCCAGCACCACATCCTCACACCAGAGAGCCAGAGAACAGAACCACAGAACATCCACAGCTGGAAGGGACCCACAAGGATCACCTAGTCCAACTCCAGGCCCTGCACAGGACTCCCCATCCTGTGCCTGAGAGCGCTGTCCAAACACTCCTTGAGCTCTGTCAGGCTTGGGGCTGTGACCACTGCCCTGGGGAGCTGTTCAGTGCCCGAACACCTCTGGGGGAAGAGCCTTTCCCTGATCTCCAGCCTAATCCTCCCCTCACACAGCTCCAGCCATTCCCTTAGGTCCTGTCACTGGTCCCAGAGAGTAGAGATCGGAGCTGCCCCTCTCGAGGGAGCTGCAGACCGCGGGGAGGTCTCACCTCAGCCTCTCCTTCTCTAGGTAACTGAACACGCCCTACCTCTGCTAAAACCTCCACCAGCTTCTGTATTGCAGCGACAAGAAATGCCTCAGGGCCCCAGAGAACAGGTCTAGGTTTCATCCCGGAGCTCTCGTTTTACTTCACGCCCCGAAGCCCCGAGGAGCTCACCCAGCAGGTCGAGCGGCCGCCCCGCATAGCGCTGCTCCACCACCTTCTCCAGCGCGTAGCTGAGGTCCATGCTGTGCCGGGTGATCTCGGCGGGGGTGGCGCCGTCGGGGTAGGGCTGCCGGGGCAGCTCGGTGAAGCGGATGCGGGTGCC